TCACTGCATGATAAAATTACTTCCCAATTACTTTCTTTTTTATAATAAAATTACCTAAAGCACTACATATATTTACCAATGACATTGATGTTTGTTCTGTATATAGTTAGATGAATAATGTGATAGCAAACCATCATTATTGTAAATCTAAAGCATGTCATAAATCAAATTAAGTATCAGTGTTCAGTGTTGGGATTTGCATTAGTTGGTAGTTGTATAGCAAGTAATTCATGTATATGTATCATATTTTTTTACTTCCTACTCCGCTCTGGTAACAAATTATACACCAATTCAAGTTTAGATTAGTGAGTCTGATCACGACAATGAAATTACATACACTGATATGAGATATATTATCATATTAATACTAGTTGAAGTGTACAATAGAGCCATCACTTGTGTCTTTTGATAGTTAAGTTTTAAATATAGTTATTTGATTAAAAACCAAGTTAGTGGTAATCGTCCAGAATAGTAAAGTTCTTCTACGTTCAGCCAAATTCATCATGTCAAACCTCTTCATATAGGTCTTAGTTGAATCTTCATTGCCTTTTAACTCATATCAGAGTATCTTTTTTGTTTGTCCTTTATTTTTGAGTGAGGGGCAAGTTTGCTATAACTTCTTCTTCTTCTTCTTATTCTTTTTGGTTCATGATGATATTTGTGCTTTAGATTGCTCTATATGTTGTCGGCTGCAGATGAGATCAAATGTTCTGCAGCAATGTTCTTCATTAGAATGTCACTAATATATAGGGTTTGGACCACTGTCTATACGAGTTCTAGAAAATTAGATAGGTTATTGTTTTTCACCGATTTCCTCCGATATATAGGTGAAAATCTGATTAATAGGCCGCTTTTTATAGGTCTAAATCGGTCGATTTTGTCAGAAAAAATATCACAACTATTGGTTGGCTTTTGGGTCCCAAAACACTTATTTTTTCAAATCTGATACCACCTAAATAAAATCAAAACACCAATCCCACTCATTGTTTCCCATCGCATTTAGAGCAACCAGTCCTAATTTCTCTTCACCTCCTTTGCTCTATCCTCAAGTTTAATCGTTCAATTATTTTGAGTCCTCTCTCGAAGACGTTTTGATATGTTTACATTTCAGTAAGTGTGTTTAGCTTACATTTTAGGACATTCTATTATAAATGCTCACCATTCAATATGACATTCCGATTTTTATTACTTATCCCCAATATATCCCGATAATCACAATCCGATATGAATTTTGGCCATTCAATATTTTTCCGATAACCGATATTTAAAACCTTGTTTAGGATTGCAAGGACTTGTTTTTTCCCTCTCTATATTGTAACTATTCAACTCCAATAGTACTTAAAGCTAGCTGCATGTACTCAATTATTTTTTATTTATAGCTAGTTTTGCAAATACCGAGAATAATGAATCTTGTGGGCATGGCGGAGCAAGTTTTGAAAGCTTGTGCTCTTGGATATCGACCTTCAGAATTCGCCAACACAATTAAGCATTGCTTTTCTTTAAAGAGTGATGTATATGCTTGTTTGTGTAGAATATTTAGTGGTTTATGGCTTGTAACATTGTAAGGTGTGAATAAGTAATATTCAGTCAATGTCTTGTAGGCAAAAAATGCAAGTGAAAAGATTATGTATTTGCTCATAAAATATTCTGATAAGTGAAAAAGCTATTCAGCCTATGCCTTGTAGGCGGAAATGAGAGTAAAATGATTATGTATTTGCACATATAATGTTCTGATAAATGAAAGCACTCGTTTTCGTTATTCTTTGAGTTGTTTTGCTTCCATTATTTTTGTAATCTATTGGAAATATTGAGTTGATTGGAGGGCCTGAATTAGCTTAAAAGTGCAAATCTGTTGGTACTATTATTGTTCCTACTGTAGAGCACTTGTATGGTATTTGTGGTTACAAGCTTACAATTTGTTAGGAAAACGACAATATTATAATTCTTTTGAAATTGCTACTCAATGAAGAACGATTTTAGTTGCAGTTCATTAATTTTCACGCAGGAGCCTTTACAAAGGTATCTTTTTAATATATTTTTTTTATAATTGGGTTCATATATATAACTCATTCTCTAACTAAAAAAAATAAATAAAGTTGTAAGATGAACAAATAATAGAAGACAAGAATTTACAATCCTAATTCCAAGAACCAAACATGGGAATTGGATTTCAAGCATCATAGTCTAAAGGAGTTTGAACATGGAACCAAACAAGGGACTGGGACCCATCTATTCCTAGTCCCAGGTCAAGTAACCAAGTGCTGCATAAGGGGGTGCTTGGATCAAGCAAAATTTTGGGATATGAGGTGGATTTCAAATTCTAGGATCAAAAATTAGGTTTTTTGTGCTCTTTGGATTCCATAAATTGTGTTTGTTTCAAGCAAATTTTTGTGATCTTGAATACCTAAATTGCAAAAATCACTCCAGTTTTGGAATTTGAAAAATCCTTACAAATAGAGAGAATTTGGGTGGATCTCTGACAATTATATCCACATCAGCAAAAACTAATTTCACTCGTGGCCATCAAAACCAATAGCGGATGAGCCCGTAGCTCTATTCTCACCGCTTCTCATTTTCTCTCCCTCCTCTTTTACCTGCCTCCTCCATTTTCCGCTACAAAACCCTAGTATTCTTCTCTCTCCCCGTCGCCGATCCTCAATCATCTCATCAACGATAGCTTCCTCTCCCTTAAAAAAGGTTAAATTTCTCTCTCTTCCCCCCCCCTCTCTCTCTTTATCACTCTTCAGTTTATTAATTGATTGAAGCCCCTCTTTTGATTCGAAATTGAATCTCTGGTCCTTATCCTATTGCCGACAAAACGAAGCCAATGAAGGTTGTCATCACCATCGATGTTCTCCGCTGCTCCGACGATGACGTCACCGTCGCTTCAGCTATTTTCGATCTCCACGTCAACGCCTATTGGGGGATCAAGCTCGTCACCGATTCCCTCATCTCTAATTGCAAAGGCTCCTCCTTTGATCTCATCGCGCTCCCTATTAGTCTCAAAATTGCAAGATTTGAATTTTTTTCTTTTTAGATACTTGGGTAAAATTTGGGGGTTTTTTTTGTTTCAGGGAGGAATGCCTGGTTTAGCTAGCCTAAGAGATTGTGAAGTGTTGGCAGAAATGGTTAGAAAGCAATTAGAGAGTGGAGGGATTAATGTGGTGATTTGTGCAACTCTAGCGGTTGCATTGGGATCTTGGGGTCTGCTTCAAGGATTGAAAGTGAGACTGAATTGAGTGAAAATGCTAAAGAAATTGAATTTTATGCAAGGATAGTTTGAAAGATAATTTTTCTTTTGATATGTAGGTTATTTGTTATCTTGCTTTCATAGAGAAGTTACTGCCGGATGTGACGAAATTGGAATCTAGGGTTCAAGTTGACAGGAAGGTGGTTATAAACCGAGGAGTAGGAATGGCTATTGAGTTCTCCTTGGCATTGATTGAGATGCTTTATGGCAAAGAGAAAGCCTATAACCGAGGAGTAGGGACGGCTATTGAGTTCTCCTTAGCATTGATTGAGATGCTTTATGGCAAAGAGAAAGCCGAAGATGTTGTAGGACCTATGGTAATTAGCTTCTATGATTTTTGTAGTTTGTATCTTGCTATTGTATGTGCATGATGTATATTTCATTTCATCTATGGAGGACTTTTCAGATGGAGTTTTAGACTGTTGACAAGATGCGTAAGACCCATCATTCTCTTCTGGTTGTGAAGCTTTTCGCTTATGGTCAATAGTAAATACTATGTGGTGTCAGCTTATCTAATCCTTTGCTCTAAAGTTGTGGAAAAGATGGCAATAAAGGGAAAATTCTCTATGCATGTTTATGTCCTTACATTGTGCATGCATTGAACAAATTTCATCATATAAGGAATGCTTTTTATACAATGGAGTCAAGCGTTAACTGCACTAGCTAATGATCATTCATCGCCCTATTACAATTTATTTTACATTTACTTAATCTGTCTCCTACTTTAATAATGTCATCCTAAACAATTTTTTTAATATAAGGTAGTAATTCTTAGGAATAAAGGGGATTTTTTGAATCATTTAACTGACAAGGATAATTTCCATTTGGTATAGTCTTTAGAATTAGGTATTCTTGTTATCAATTTGGATGTGGTATAAGACAAAAGAAAGTCGTTATGAGGATGTTTGAAGTTTGAACACTCGTTTAAATATGATGGATCTTGATTGTTCAGGAATGGATTAACCAAAAGTCATCCCTTACCAATAAGATTATTGGATGATTAGGAATCAACATGTAGAAAATTGTAGGTTACCCCAATTGCTATGTATTGTTCTCACTGCTCATGTGGGAGATAAACTCACCAAGGTAAGCATATTCAACTATCATTCTTTTGGAAATCTTAAACTTTGTTTGGTTCAACTATAGATTACAAATTCTAAAATTTGTTATCCTACAAATTTGGGTTTGAACCAAACAAGATATTACAAATTGTAGGATTTGTTATCCTACAATAATATTGAACCAAACAAAATTTTAGAAATCCCAAGGCATGTAAAAAACCTATGGATTTCAAATCCCTATGGGATTACAAATTCCAAAATTTTGGCATTTGAACCACACACCCCTTAAAAGTATTGGGTTTTTTCTTCATTCCTTACTTAGCTCCTTCCCATGCATTGGCTGGCATGATTTTGTTTGCTGTGATGGGAGAGAGATTGAGCCATAACAGCTAGCTTTTCAACGAAATTCTACACGAACACCCTTACCTCAATAGCACCCAAGCCCAATTTCTAAAATGAACAGCTACAACAAGTATACGTCGAAACTCAAACTGAGATCTAACAGCTAAAACTAATATTTTTTCATGAAAACGAACAAAATAAAGAAAACCAAGTCTACAATGAACCACTGCAACAAGAGGCACGAATCAAAACTCAAAGTTTTAAGGTCTACCAACTAAAGTGACAATTATTACACAATAAATAAACAAATTAAGAGAAATCTAGAAGGGGAAATCGACAGAGGTCACCTCTCTTGACCCGCGGTATCCCAAATCTGAGCCTTGATGACCTTTCCATCGACATTCAAGCTCCGAGTGGCGAACTCGACGCCGATGGTGGACTTGGACTCGAGGCTGAACTCGTTTCTGGTGAACCTCGAGAGCAGATTAGACTTCCCTACTCCAGAATCGCCGATGAGAACGACCTTGAAGAGGTAATCATAGTCGTCCTCGGCCTTGTAAGATCCCATTTCTCTCTCTAGGGTTTCGAATGGAGGAGAGAGAAAGAGAGAACAAAGGTGGAGATCAAGAGAGAGAAAAGGGAAAGCTTCGAGCTTTAGATCTATCGAGCTCTGGTTTACTTTTTCGTTGGAAGTTTAGGTCTCGGTCGGCGCTCAATGGACTCCGCTAGAAAAAAAGGCGGCTTTTTAAAACTGATGGGTAAATGTTTTGAGACGCCCTGCACTTTAGGGTGATATCTTTAGGGTGGTTATCAGCAAAATTACCATCAATTTTAAAAACTAGATAAAAACCTACTCAAGCTTATTAGGGAGCTCCACAAAATCTCCTGAACTTTCGAAAATTTTCACCCGGATAGGTGAACTAGCATTTTAGCTTGTGCTGCACATGATCAGTTTTCCACGATTCAATTTCTCTATCACGCTCTAATAATTACAAAAATATGTATACATCATTTAATATCTAGGGAAAAATGTATTTAGGCCCCCAAAAAAAAAGGAGATGTGACCCAGCCCCCCATATTTTTTCCCTTACTCTTTAACCCCAAAAATCAAAAGCAATTTGTGCAGCCCCTTTTCACACTCCCAGAAAATCATTCCAAAAACCCAAAAATACCCCTTCCCTTATCTTCTTCTTCTTCTTCCCCTCCTCCTCCTCTGTGGCTTCCTCCTCCTCCTCTTAATCTCAGTTAATTGGGGGGGCTGGGCCACATCCGCTTTTTTGTTTTGGGGCCTTGAAACATTTTTCCCTAAAATAAAACAATTAATCCATTACAAATGTTAAGTAGCTCAGTTGGTAAGTTATTGGGTCTACAACCGGTGAAAAGTCTTTTCATAGCCACAATGTAATCCTTTCATATATATAAAATAAAGGGAAAAATATATTTAGGCCCCAAAAAAATAAAGGGGATGTGCCCTAGCCCCCCATATTTTTTCCCTTACTCTTTAACCCCAAAAATAAAAAACAATTTGTGCAGCCCCCTTTTCACACTCTCCCAGAAAATCATCTCAAAAAAACCCGAAAATACTCCTTCCCTTATCTTCTTCTTCTTCTTCCCCTCCTCCTCCTCTGTGGCTTCCTCCTCCTCCTCTTAATCTCCTCCCCCTCCCCCCTCCCTCTTTCTCTCGCTTCTCTTCTCACGCTCAAAGCCCAAGCCCCAGGATCCCCAGCTCCAAAACCCTAACCCCAGCCCTAACCCCAAATCCCCATCATCAACCTCCTTCTCCCCTCTCCCTCAACATCTGGCCTTCCACCCAGCGCACTCGCGACGCCGTCACCGCTCGCCTCGTCGAAACCCTAACCTGCCCTTCCTCCGTCCTCGCCAAGCGCTACGCCGTCACATGCTTTCTGATTTGTGGTGTTTATGTTGTTTGCCTTATAAACCTAGATTTGTGGAAGGAGAGCAAAGCCAAGTCTCAATGGTGGATTGATTGCGTCATCTTAGGTATGAACAATTTCATGTGCTTTCTGTCAGCAAACCTATGGTTCGATACAGAAACCACATCAGTAATGGTGGGGTTTGGTTTGTTAAGTGTTTACTTTAAATAGTTACTAATGGCCTGACACACTTTCTGCACTCGCGACGCCGTCACCGCTCGCCTCGTCGAAACCCTAACCTGCCCTTCCTCCGTCCTCGCCAAGCTCTACGCCATCACATGCTTTCTGATTTGTGGTGTTTATGTTGTTTGCCTTATAAACCTAGATTTGTGGAAGAAGAGCAAAGCTAAGTCTCAATGGTGGATTGATTGCGTCATCTTAGGTATGAACAATTTTCTGTGCTTTCTGTCAGCAAACCTATGGTTCGATACAGAAACCACATCAGTAATGGTGGGGGTTTGGTTTGTTAAGTGTTTACTTTAAATAGTTACTAATGGCCTGACACACTTTCTGGGCTTGTGATCTACAAAAATTCTCAGTGAAGGGCTGTCTATTAGCTTTGTGATAAGGCTTTGTGATATTGTGTGGCCATTTGCCTCCTTTGTGTGATACGTTTTGTGAATGCTTCCTTAAGTGCCCCGTTGTCTTCATGTAAATTTGAATGAACTTAGATGTATAATTTGATGTGTGTGATATCTTTTCTGAAGACTTGGCCTTTTTTCCTTGCATAGTGTGCTTGAGCTCATGTGCAACTTGTTTGATGTCCGTGTGCTATGCGTGATTTGTCTGCCAAATGCTTCCTTGTGTGCCTTTTTGTTTTGGCCTAACTGTTGACAAGGTTGTATACTTTGTGATATTGTGTGGCCAATTGCTTCCTTTGTGTGATACGTTTTCTGAATGCTTCCTTAAGTGCCCCGTTGTCTTCATGTAAATTTGAATGAACTCAGATGTGTAATTTGATGTGTGTGATATCTTTTCTGAAGACTTGGCCTTTTGTCCTTGCATAGTGTTCTTGAGCTCATGTGCAACTTGTTTGATGTCCGTGTGCTATGTGTGATTTGTCTGCCAAATGCTTCCTTGTGTGCCTTTTTGTTTTGGCCTAACTGTTGACAAGGTTGTATATTTCTTGATATGATTATGGCTCTTTGCATCTCCGCTTCCCACTCTAATGTGCATTTACTTGTTTTGTGTATTTAAGTGAGTGATGATAATCCAACTGTTTCCTAGCATTGGTACTCACTTGTTCTGATCTTTTTGCAAGAAGAAGAGACCGAGGAGGAGTGATGGTCCTGACTCCCTTGCAGAAACCCTTGCAAAGTGGAAAGAACTCAACCGTCAAAATGATACATCCAAAGATGGTAGAAAACCTACACGAAAGGTACCTGCAAAGGGATCAAGAAAGGGGTGCATGCGAGGGACTTGAAGGTGAAGAGGATAACCCCCATCATCTCCACCTGGCGATTCGAGGGGATGAGGAGCTCGACACGCTGATCAAGGGGACGATTGCTGGCGGAGGAGTCATCCCTCACATCCACAAGTCCCTCATCAACAAATCCTCCAAAGAGTAGTTGGTGATCTTTTAGAATTGTTATGTGCAACTTGTAATTCCGTGTTGTGTTTACTTTTGTGTTTTGGGGTCAGACTTAGATTTCCAACTGATGCGAGTTTTAATATAGAACTTTGTTTAGAGATTGAAGTTTGCTGATTTTTAGGTACATGTTATTATGATATTGTAAAATCCCATGATCAGCAAGAACATGATCAGCAAGAACATGACATGTTTCCTATGTTAACTTTCATCATTATATGTTAACCCTCCTCATAACATGTTAACTTTCTTTCTGGACATGTTAACATTCATCATAATATTTTAACTTTCACTGTTACATGTTAACTTTCATAATAATATGTTAACTTTTTGCAGTTTTATGTTAACTTTCATGCAAACCAACTTTCACTGCTTTATTTTCGTAGAAGCGTTTAAAAAAAGCTATGACCAAGTCTTTTAATCACAAACTGTGCCAAACTCGGGGCCGCCCTCTACTTGTACAAACTGTGCCAAACTCGGGGCCGCCCTCTACTTGTGACCTCGTTGTTGCTGCGTCAGATAGAGGTTGGATTTGCATGGTTTTCACTTGGCATCAACATACATTATCCTATTGCAGTGGATGGAGGAGTTCTGGCATAGGTTAAAGGTTAAAGAATATGAGAATCCGGAGAGTTTAAGTTGAATAAATAAGAACATGAAGCTTGTTATTGCTTGGATAAGATTGTGAAAATGAGAAGAGAAGAAGATGTTAATTTTTATAATAGGACTGTTTGTACTCTTTATTCTTGTGTAGTTTTTCCAGAATTGCTTGTAACGTGTCATGTTAACTTTTACCAGAACATGTTAACTTTTACCAGAACATGTTAACTATAATAGTTATATGTTAACTTTTAACAGAACATGTTAACTTTCCTCCTAGTATGTTAACTTTTCATACTGAATGTTAACTTTCGCTGCTTTATGTTAACTTTCATCCAAACCTGTTAACTTTCACGGCTTTATGTTAACTCGAGATATTTATGTTTCTGAATTTTGTAATATTGAGTCTAACTTCATTTGGTAGTTGTTTCTTCTCAAATAGCCGAAGTAAGTGATTTATTTGCTTAATCATTATATTTACATATGCTCATCTAAACTTAATAAGCAGCTTATTAAGTTTAGATGAAGTGAATTTTGTAATAAACATAACTGGGAGGGTCAAATAAGAGCTGCTTATACAGATGAAAGTAAACATGCTTACGTGAACGTTAACATGCATACCTGAAAGTTAACATATACAGATGAAAGTTAACATATACAGCTGATAGTTAACATGTTCACGTGAACGTTAACATACACACCTGAAAGTTAACATATACAGACACTTCTTTCCAGTCCTGAAGCACACATGTAATTAAGAAGCCAAAGATGCAAAAAATGTATGTACGCAAGATAAGTAGTCCAGAAGCCAATAACTCATTATGGAAGAAACTTTGTAATGGGCCAATCTAACAAATTATATATCCTTTATCTTTAAGTTTGATACATCGCAGACTATAAGTATGGCAAGCAAGAATATGAATCGGAAGCTAAAGCTACCCATTATGAAGGATCAGATGTATCATCTTTAAACCTTAATCTTCGTGACAAACTTCAGGAATCAGCTCCTCAAGAGTGTGAAAATAAATCTTGGACTCCTTGTTGGGGAACATCATGATTTATATAGAGGTATTGTTTGTGACTAAACTAGGGATATATGTGAACTGTGTATGATCAAATGATGTAAATTGCTAGTAGAATCAAGGCATAAGTCAAAACCCAAAACTCAAATTCATGTGATGGTTTTTGTAACTCTAGTTTTAGATTGTACAATCTCAAGCACCATATGTTGTGCTTTTGATGAAATAAGTTACAAAGTGTGCTCTCAAAATCTGGGCCACGCCTCCTCCATGGCCATTTCACATGGAACTTCAATAAATGCTCTTGGTCCTACCACGCTCTTAACAATTGACAGTTTATGTCCATGTGATCTATTAAATCTCTCTGCACATCTAGAATATTGTATACCACAGATTCACTCAATGTGTCCTTTTGAATATATATACACTCAACTCCAACCCACTTGATCTAATAACCAAATTGCCAGCAATTACTTTAGGACTAACCAAACAATGACTAATCCAATGGCTCATCCTCAAATATTCAAGGTTAACCCTAATGAAGAAAATTTGAGCTAGCCCCATTTTATATGCAAAAACTTCAAGAACTGAGTGCTGGAAACTATAAATCAAAA